TGTTCTTAAAAACTAGCTAGCATACTGTATACGGTAATTTTGCAATTAGATAACAATATCATATTGTTACAATCTACAAAAAGTTTTACTTCTTTTATTTTAAAAATTGTTCGTTTCTAACAATAACAGCTCTCACATAAAGTAATCATCCATTTACTAAATAGGCCGTTAACAAACAAAATATCGACCTTAAACATCAACTTCTTTGAAATAATATATTATCATAAATGCATTATCAAGATATTTTTTGATATCGAAGTTTAGTTAATAAATAAGATTTATATGACTCGTGTAATAGATTGGAACATATCTAAGGATATGGAATTTGTACGTGCTGCAATATGCTGTAATGGAATATAATTCCGTTACTCTGATTGTCAGATTACATCATGGCTTCGTTTTAGGTATTTGCTAGAAAGCTATGGTCGTCAAACATCTTAATGATTGCTTCTATAGCCGCTCGAGGGGATGGTATGATCAAATGAAATTAAGTAATTATTTGTTTCTAAATAAATTAAAGTTAAAGTTTCGTTTTACTATTGAATAGCAGGTCGTCTATCAATTATAAAGGTATTTATTAGATGTCTAGATATGATCAAATTGGGCATGTACTATATTTCAAGATATGCTGAGGAAAAAAAGCTATCGTTAAATAAGAGTAGAAATTTAAAAGAAACTTGGATACTAAATGCAAAATAAAAAGTATTAGTATAAAGTACGAAGTATCACGAGCAAGAGTTCGACTAGTATGATAAAACAACAATTCCATTATAATCAGTGTGATAATTTGTCTTATGGTAGATGTAATATCATAATTTATATATGTATGTAAACATACATATCACAATGTCCGAAAGTAACAAGAAAGAGCCAGTACCTTACATTTAATTGATTACAATTGCAAAGTGAAACAGATATGATTGTTATGTACATTTGTAAGCTTACAGAAGTCATATAAATTAGTTTTAGATTGCAAGCATGATATCAAAGTCGATGAAAGCTTATAAATGAGTTACAGTTTAATATTTGAATATGTAACGAGCAAGTAGCAATTCATTGTATTCAATTGATTTGAAATGCTTTTAACAATTTTATATCAAATCTTAGGTAAATTAAATTATTATTGTCAATTTCTAAAATAAAAAGTTACTTAAAGTTTTTTCGTATCTTTTCATAGTAAGTACTTAATCGAAAGAAAATTGCACTGCCATTGGAATTTAACTTCTGAATAATTAAGGCTATCTTATATGCATATTAATTATTACTTTACTTTACCTCCTACGCCCGTGGTATTGACTTCAGCACCGTCTATAATATCGAAATGAAATATCGAGATTAATTAATATCTCAAACTCTTTTATGGCTTTGATATTTACTCCTAACTATTCACAAGTAATTAAAATTTCAGCCTTTTAAAACATTTAAATTTCTCCAAGTTTCATGCACAGTAGGGGTACGATTATTAAAAGAAGCCTTTTAACCTACTTTTGCAGCTATCTTTCTACTTATTAATAAAACGAAATGCTAGATAAATAATTATTAAACAGATTTGAGGATTACCTGCAAAGAGTCCATACGAAACAATCTATAGATGATAATTCGAAGATAGAATTAAGTCAAAAAATATTAATTATCTTTGTATAAAGCATTTTCTATTTACTGTTAAAAGTTAATCAAGCAGAAATAATTTAGTCTATAAGGTTCGATAAACCAAATAATAATTATTAATCAATGAAATTCTACTAATTTCCTATGCTATTGAAAATGCAAGGCTGTGAATTTATGACAGCAATCATGTCGACAATATATACTAATTACAAATTAAGTGGTCCCTAACCAGGGCTGAAATGAGCTCATGCACAATTTCAAACATAGAAATATATCAATATGATTCATTTATTTTACTTAGGTTACTGTTCTTGTTTCTATCGAGGTGAAAATAACTACTACCGATCAATATTATAAATACGTAAACATGATTCGAATTATTTTGCTACGTGTAGACCTAAAAGATTGCAACCTAAAATGGCACATATTTAGAAAGAACCAGAATTAACTACTTCGGTTGCTTTTTTAATGTAGAAACTTTGTTTTTCAATCTCGTTCGTATAATATATATAAAAATATTGCTTTTGCATTGATACTTTAATTACTGTCTTTGATAATTTCTATGCAAGCACTTTTCAATCACTGCAGCACTCGCATTTGGAAGAAAATGTCGATGTGAAATTGATCCATACCTAATTAATTAATTAATATTTTTAAGGATAATGAAATATTTAAGTAACGTATGGTACTTCCTAAGTTCAAGGCTACGTGACTACTCTTGGTTTTGCGCTATACTTTTAAATCTAAGTCTATTTTCATAACGCAGAAATAACAAGTATCTCATAGCAGGTTGGTCGATAAAATATTACTCAACAAATCTAAAAGCTTCGCTTCAAGTATTTTTAACAGCATAAATTTGCATCTACGACAGCAAACATATCTATAGTTACTGCAACAATTTATTTTACTTGAGCAGATTTCAAAGCAGTACTATAGTGCGGTTCAGATAAACAGTGCTATAAAATCGTTAAAGTTTGTAGTTATGTAATTTGCACTTAGGTATTCATGATTTAGCAATATAAGACACTTTGAAGGCAATACTTGTCATAGCAGATACAAAACGAAAGTCTTGCTAAAATCAAATAGAGATAATTATCTGTGTTATTCGAAGATTATGATATTCGATAGTCGAACACAATTGATTAGCGCTTTATAGCAAAAAATAATGACTTCTTGGGAAATAAGGGAATCCGGGCTCAATATAACAGCTACAATAATTACAATGTAGCTGGTACTAAATGCAAAGATATGCATTTAATTTACTACCAGCTATTAGCTAAAAAATATGCAAGATTCCTGCTGACTGGTGAAGGTATGCTTTAACTACGGTATACGCTACCGTTATTGATGAGCTGGTATCTAACAAATTAGTTGCTGCAGTCTTACGGATAGCGTACATGGTATCAATTTATCACCCCAAAATGGCATTAACAGGTAAATGACGTTTAGCTAAAATTTTTCATGCATAAATATAATTACGGTACTCTATCTACGACATTTGAATGATTTTTACGCCACAACTAGTTTTAGACTGCACAACTTATTTTACGTAGCTGGACCATTATTATGTGTCTAACTTCAGGGATGTTTTATGCTTAGAATATTATTAACAGTATTTTATATGAAACAGTAAAAATTTTAGATCGTTTTCATGCAAGAATTATTGTGATATAATACAGTCGTGCAGTACAATTATTTGACTACATGCTAAAGTTAGATATACATTTATGCATTAAAATTGATTAAGGCCGTCGAGAATTAATCTAGAAATTATTGGACATTTAGGTAACACGTAAATCAAACTGGAAGTTATCAAAGCTGCAGTAGTATCAATATCAATCTATGATGGACGCCTTTCAAGTAATGGATCCTTTAATCTGTTTCTGAACTGTAAGACACTGACTCCATTTTTTAACTGGAATTTTCACTTTCCTAAATCACTAGCTGGCTTTTGTTAGTCAGCTCATAGATATTATTCAAACGTGGTGTCTACTTACCCACGCTACAATTAAAATTGCAACGACTGGAGTAGTAATGGCCATGTGGTCGATCGAATTTTCCCTCTCCTTTCAAGGATGAAATCGAAGAATTATCGATCTCAACCTTAGAGCGGATGCATAATGCTTATATGATGTTTGATCGGTAGTTTGCAAATGCTAAATTTCAAGTATTCCAATACGATTAATTGGATTAATTTAAATAAATTGATACGTCCTGTTGTTTAATGATATTCTATTGAAGATGATATCTATTGTCTATGGCCAGTCCCAGCTGCTTATTGCAACGGGATGCAGTCTATCCGAATTCATGTATATTATTCTATAGTGTATTATATTATATTATTTGTCGTCAACGGTAATGATGAGATTATTGCGACCAATCACGGTATAACTTCAATTGAAAAATGATGATTGATTCGTTGTTGTAATGGTAAATCTATCGAATTATTTATATTAAATAGAGGTCCTGTATCTAGGAGATCCTAAGCTGTTTTACACCTGTGCTTCATGTTTGTTATATATGATAAAAAAATTCTTATCCTTATTTATTATTTTAATTCTCATCATCTAACAAATGACGACAGGATAAGATACAAGTTTTCGAGTCATTAAAATTTGAACTTCCGTTAATTATCAATTATTAGCTAGTTAATGCAGTACTAGGTGATTTCAAGCTACACATTATCCTGAACTAACCATTAAAAATACTAATCTTCGATCCCAAGGTATGAAAAAAATTTTGTTTCAAGCCGATACCATATTTGGCAAACTTGGTTAATAAATTCACAACAATAGATGAAATTCACAATAACTTGGAAGAAGTTCTTTCACTATCACTATTAATAAGCACTTCAAAGCATATGGGATTTTATCGTTAATATAAAATCGACTAGATATCATTTCGATATGATTAGCATAGGTTATCTATTACTATTAATCGACTATTGCAAGTCAAAAAGACTAATTTCTCTTTAAATTTGTATGTATGATCTAACTACTGAATGGATGTATCAACATCTGAGGGTCTCTTTAGTTTTACAAGCGAACCCGCGGAATGAAGTACTGGAATGAACCATCAAAAGCAATCGTTATACATGTTATACAGGGAGACAGAGCTTAGTCAAGGCAGTTACACATAACAATTAGATCAGTTAAAATGTAGAGTTTTACAACATCTGTCATCATTATAGCAACATTGGTGTTACATGGGCACATGTATAGGCTTATGCTGATGGTATTGAAAAAATATAATAGATGTAGGCTCAATAAAACAGCTTTAATAAAGCACTTCCTCGTAATTATCTTTCATTAAAATGTATTATGGAAGTCTATCAAATCAATGCAATATAAATAAGCTCACTAGCATACACGTCATATCATTTCTATCAAATTTTATAATTCTTCGTGTGAGTCAACTTCCGCAGCTTTCTCCTCTTCAACAGCTGAAAATTTATAAAATTTAATCAGAAAATATATTTCACATCGTCGATGAAATCAAATCAGTAAAACAACTTTCATTTATCGCAATCAAATTCTCACAGCTTATACAGTATTGATAGCATCATAGATAAAGAACATAAAAACAGAATGCAAATGTAGCCATGATTTACCCACACCATACTATTTCTTTATCAATAAATTACATCGATCTTAGTCAATTAATTAGGATTCAAAAATTGCAGTTCGAATACATATTTTCCATTCATCTACTGCAATATTTTAAATAACAACATCGTGCTGTAAAATAATACCTTCACAATGTTTTGTAATTTCAAGATAAGGAAACAAGACAATTAATACATAAATACAGTACCTTAAATGACTGCATTTACCATTAATTAGTCATAGATTAGATTTTAAAATCCACACTACTACCATATGCCAACTAAATCAAGAATTTAGTGATTTTAAAAATGAAAGTGAAATATTGAGCAATTGTTCAGACCGGATAGCCAATTATTTAAGAATAGAATCAACTAAATGTTCTAGTTAGCATAACGAAAGCCAATTCGAAGGTCAACTAGATTGCATATCTTATTTCAATTAAAATTTAAACAGTGTCCGCAGCCTATTTATGCATAACAATCGAATTTCTGGTTGCAAAGATAACAACACAGCTGTACTGACGCTGGCAACACCTAACAATGCTACGATTCCCATACTATACCAAACTGATGACAAAATCATTACGACTAATAACGTTAACATAAATACAATACCATTTGTAGCTGCACTGTCATCCGTTGAGCTTTCAGTTCCTTCAGTAGGCTCAGCTGGAACGCAAACGTCACCTTCTTTCTGGAACCCTTCTTTACATGTACAGATGAAACTACCTTCCGTGTTTTCACAATTTTCAAGCGAAACATCACAAGCGTTAGCTTCACATTCATTTATATCTAATTTGTCAGGGAACATAAGGACAATGTTTGAATTAAGATTTGCAACATTTTTGGAGAATTAAATGGCTGAAGTAACAACATAGAACTTAACGCTTGTAATAGTATCATTAAGGCGTTATATTCGGCTAAAAAGGTACAAATCCTTGCCTGTACATCCTAATTCTTCTGTATGTGTCCATCCTGAAGCACATTTAATACATCCTTTTGGACCATCCGATAAACAGTCCCCATCACAAGATACGTGGCACGCTATCGGATATTTCATGCAGTGAAAGAAATATTCAATTTCTATCAGTTTATACAGATCTGCTGAATCTATGATCAACTTTAATAATTACCGTTGCATTCTGAGCCTTTTTGTACATATCCCGTAGTACAGTTTTCACAAACTGATCCGCTATATCCAGTTTCACAAATACAGCTACCATTGCCAGAGCGTGTTCCATTTCCCTAGAAACGACACGAAGCGATTATTTAGGCCAGCCAGTACAACATGGAGTTTTCAGTATGAGGTACTTACATGGCATTTCCCATGCTGACTACAACTAAATTCGCCATTTCCTGGGCAAGCTAATCAGAATAAGATTAATGTTAGCGGCGCAAAAAGTTGTCAAAGTAATTCAGAAAAGTTGATAATTGTATAAAAAATTAGGTAACAAAATTATTCTGATCGAATTTCTTTTACCTTGACAATCTGGGCCAAAGGTATTAAATGGGCAGCAAACTAAATTTAATAAAAATATTCGCATCAATAAATTAATTAAATATGCACCATACACGACATGCCAACAGTAACAATACCCTCACAATGTTAGTAATCTATCTTATCACCTTTGAGCGTTTTTTCACAAAACCACTCGGCAAAATCTGTTTCATCTTGTCTCCTATTTATTTCATTCATTAATCAAGATGACAATATTTAAACAGGTTTTGATTTGTCGTTATTGGAATAACATCGATAGCATTGTAATGCATAACCAATGCAATTTATCAATTTTTTGCTTTAAAACTACTAACGTACAGTTTGAAGAACCATTTTTCGATTTCATCTTCGTAATTTTCAAGCATTGTATTACACTAACAATTTTTAGATACAAGATAAATAATGGGTTATTGCTATAAATCTGGATTGCAGAAAGAAACTAAATCACTATGTGTTTAGTGGCTTGCCTACAGTACGATTTATATTGTACTTGCTATTTTTTCAAAAGAGCGCGTTATACCATTTACAACCAAGTAACCATATCAATGATAACATGTGCGGACTTATGAATAATTGATTTCGTTTCATTGTCAAACGTGCACGACTAGTTATAACCGCAGGAATAACGATACACGTGAAGTCAGATTATGTATTTACAATTCATGCTATGCAAGGTAATCATTGTACATCATTGCAACTGGAAAATCTTATTTTGCTTCGTGTTTCGGATTGGTGGAAAGTAGCAGACATTGTCGGTGCGATGGCAAAAAGTTTGCTTTGGTAATAATTATCATTATTGCACATTAGTTACCTGAAAGTCTTTTCGCTTACATGTCTTTTCTGTTATATCCAATAAACGCATTTCACTATAAAGTAATAAAATTTAGATGGTTAACAATTGTCATTATGATGATAAATACCAGTATCATTTGAATTTGTCTTCTTTCTATACCCATCACGTATGCATTTATGCAAGTTAACAATACGATCTTTCAGATATCAACTAGTATATTACAAATGAGCTTGTTTAAAATTGCCTAACAAAAGTTACATTCGCTGAAATAATAACAATACGAGTTTTTACTGTGTCATTTAATTATATCGTACAACAGTACACGTAGCAGCATGTGTTCGCACGGTATTTAAGAAGCAGCTCCTTATTTTAAAACTAAAACAATTAGTTCTTTTGCTAATCTGTGTAACCCAATGTTACGTTAGCATTATGGGAACTTTTATTTTGCTTCATCAATTCACAGCAGTTGCAATTACAATATCCAAGTTGTATATGATTTTAAATAAATGACGATTGCTATTTGAGTGCACATAATCAGCTGAAGAAACATAGATATCTAAATCATTTACTCATACCTGTTTTCGTACTTTCCTAATTTTTTCTCTTCCCAGACAACATCACCACCTCCATAGCCTTTCCTGTTTGTCAAGTCTAGTCCCTAAAATGGACAACGATAGCATGATATACTGAAATGTCTTATACATAAGGCTCTTTACAGAATAAATTTCGCAAATATACCCATGGATTATACATACTGCTACGTAATTAACTTCAAGTGTTACGCACAAATTACTCGGTTTGCAGTAAGCATATCATTACACATTATATGTTAGCAAGTCAGAGAGCAAATATGCCAAGCTAAATCACTATCCGATTGGAGATGCAAGTGTAGAAACGAAAGGCCGACATGAAACTTTTGAACCAAGTCTATCTGATACATGCAAACAACTTTAATGGCCTAGTTAAGCATGAAAGTATGATCCAGCTCACAGCTGGATGTTGAATACACTTCTTAAGTTCTTTGATGTATTGTGCAAATACGTACACACAGTTCCATGAACACCGTATCATTAATAATGTCATGTAAAAAGTACCATTGCATCCCGTTCGGGAAGCAAATGTTCGACTGGTCTATATAATGCCATGTCCGATATTCCATAGTGTCAGCTGGCTGTAGGTTATAGCCCCGGTTAAATAACCCAAGCATAAAGATACAGCCGAAGTCAGATAGTAGGCTGTAACAAAGGGTTATAACCCAAGTCAACAGCCACGAATCACCAATAACCCTTATTTAATTTTTTAACACTGGTAAGAAGGTGTAAAAAATGGAATCAACTTGGACAATTATGAATACCGTAACCTATCCAGTTTTTGGATCAAGTCAATTTCACTAGCACGGAAGTTTTACAGTGTGGTATTGATTGAGTGGGTCCGTGAAATTGACTTGATCGCAGTTTTCTGTAGTCTAATAAAATTTATAATCACAAGTGTAACAAAGCTGCACAATTTGTAACTGTACATGAAATAGGATCAGCCATCATCTTTTGAAATATAAAAAGATTTTACGAGGCTCTTAAGAGAAAAATACAATCATTATTGCAAGTTTCATGTTAGGGCTAGGGTTGTCATGTATCATGTTAGCTACCAAAGAATGCAAAGAATAATCATTGCAGGTACTGACGTCAGGTATTGACTTAATGGAAGTCAACATTCTTCACCGACATTTGCAAAGAGGTACGAAACTAAATTACGCACAGTTTACCCATAGACTAGTCTAGTCCATTTAGTATATCTGGTATATACAGGACTACGATAGGTACGAAACGGCGTCTGCATGATTTTGTCAGTTCACACAAGCTACAAGTTTACACAAGCAGTTAACTGTTGTGTCGAGCGAGTTGCAATGTGGAGGAGAAAGAAAATAGAGAGCGGGCCCCTTACATTACCACATTAATAAAGTCATGCCAGTTATTCGGGTTGATTGACAATTGAATTATTCTGGCTAAGGAGAGTAATGGCTAAGCAAATTAAGAGAAAATAATGAAAAAGCGAGAAATAGTCTTTGAAACGACGCCAAATGGTTGGCAGAGTAATACACTAGATTCCGTTGCAGACACAGTGAATTTTTCAATGGAAGTTTAGCAGGATACCAAACAAGATTCTGAAATGCTGTCAAGAATAATGATCGGGCCATTGACGAATATTAGATGAGTAAAGTGCACTGTACTTTGAATAATAAAAGTAAGTAACCCATTTAATCCTTCTGGCTAGCTTTCATCTTGGACAGTAGTGAATGAAGTTGCATGCTAAGGTGTAATACCATCGAGTAAGTGTTATCGGTCAAGCAGATTGATTATATACGTACAATTTCGAAGGAAACAGCCAATTTACGACAGTCGATACAGCGTTTCATAACTCGGTCTTTGCCATTATCTTCATCTTCTTCCTTGGCATTGACTATCCTATTGCATAGAAGGAGAACAAGGAGAAAAGCAAAGAAACTGCCAAATCGAGGCCAATGTTTTCTGCCCGCCATCTTTGTAGGAGTGAAGTCACCACACGCTTGACCTGACTTTATCCGACTGCAACACCAAACGATCTACAAGTGGAGATGCACCAATCAGCTGCCAGGGCAAGAAGGCATTCACTCAAACGACTGACTATTGAACTTCAAAGTCGCCAATGAAATTCGTCCACGTCGTTTATCGGCCGTGTCCAGTCATTGATAGACAACTCCAAGCCGGTATGCGCGTGCGTATCTGAGCAGAATACAGGTTCAAGAGCAATACGGGTCAATCGGTCATCAGTCGTTGTCGCAGTCATCAACATGGTCGACTTTTCTAGAGTCGTCCAGAACGAAAAGTGCAACATATTGCAGGTAGAAGAAATAAGGAGAAGAATTTGATGAAGACGAGTTCTTCTCCTAATAAATGGCAAAGTGCCTGCCGTATCGACTGTTGTTGCACTGTACCGGCGTGCACACTCCACTGTTGTATAGGTGAATAATCAATCAACCGTGTTCTGTAAATACTGCTATGGATAAAAATAAATAATAATAATAAAGCCAAGAGAGAGAGATGTGCCAGGCAAAACTTAGTGACCCGTTGTAGTCTACGATTTGCAGAAATGGAAGCTGCAGTATCATTAGAATTACTATCGATAGAAATTAATTATTATTTTTTTCATGGAGGGAGTCCCTAGTACATACACTTAAACTAGTACAGTACTATAGGACTGGAGATACAAATATTTTATTACAGCAGTCTCCGATATAAGCTTCAACGGACAGGTGCACGGTGGTGGCGATAGCTTCGTCGAAGCTATTTATTGATTAGACTCTCCGAATCGTAACAAATATATCAGTCAATCGATAAAATTGTTTTTCAGTTACAGCGGGCCACTGTAACACGCTTTTAAAACTACCGTAGTCCTGGATAAACTACTAGTTCATGGTGCTGCAGCTACTACATACCCCTAATGAACTACAGTGTAGCTGTTATATATGGAGCAATTACATATACAGCATACTGTAAAGTAGTATGATATAGAGAATGATTAAAAGTCGTACTGTAAGTGATACAGCTTCAACAAGAATATGACGATAAAGTGTCTCAGTAATGATATGATAACAACTTCCATTTCTTGTCGACTTTACTGTAGTACTGCCACAACTCTCTCTTGTGACAAAGGAAACGTCAATTAACGAAGTAAAGAATCTCTCGTGTAACTATAATAACTCGGGTTACTTCTCCCAGTATCTCCAGTTCCCATGTTAGTGATATACTACAACTCAATTTCTCGGCTGAACTCCATAGATAACTGAATATATTACACTATTCTTCACTATACGAGTCTTGCACCATTCTTGAGCAACTACTGATTTATTCTACAAACACACGCGCTTAAATCGATTTCTACTATGAATTCCAGTGTTAACCACTGAGAATTAAGTTAGCGCCATCACTATAATACATTACTAACTATGTACACAGATATTCTCATAATGGACTACTGTGTATTGTGTCGGCGACATTATAGTGTTTACGAAATGATACGGCTACAACAAGAATGTTACGATAAAGTATCTCAGTAATGATATAATAAGAACTTCGATTTCTTATAGACTTTACTGTAGTACATGAATTAGTTCTACCAAAGTACAACGGACGACAGTACCTAATTAGCATCAATATACGGCCAAACTATTTAATCTTACAATCGAATCCTCATACAGTATATGATTGACGAGACCGCCTATTATTAATTAATTATTATCTCGATAGAGGTACTGTACATACGCATATTCACCATATGGGGGAATACGTTTAAAAGATCTCACAACGCTTGTAATAAGATTAAAAGTCATAGAGTTTATTTGTAAAGGATTCTGCCAGTAATAGGAATTAATTCATGTCATGATTTAATTCAATTGGAATTACGGGTCCATCTATGAAAGCCATCATGCTTCCTTTCCAATAACATTATGGAATGTGGGCTGAACAATAAATAATGTAATAATTGGGAATAATTAAATTTAATTTAATTTCTTCTGCTAGCTATTATACATAATTTACGCGTATTTTTGATATGCGCAGACAAGAACATTAGCGTAATGGTTTATGCAGACTTTAAAATGTAATACCTCTTTCAGACATACGTCGTATGAACCGTAAGGATTGCTGATGCTCGCAATTTATAAGCAAGAAATAACATAACGGAACACAATCTCACTAAAGCTATGAAAAATAATTTGCATTCAAGTTCTATGTACCGCTGAACTAATGATTACGGCGCCGCCAATTATAATTATTAGCAATTTGTAGCCTCAGGACAACATTCGTTTTGATTATTGGTATCTGCAACATTTAAATAAGTGATGGGTGCTAGTCTTCCTAAATAGAGCAAGAGCTCATTTTCAACGATAAATCTTCACACTAGATTAAGAGGATACCTGTGCACTATAATTAATTGTAGAGCATTACTCGAATAAAGGAATGCACGTTCGTTCGTTCGTTTATAGAACCTGTAGATTGTATAATGCGTAAATGTGTATACCTTTAAGGAATCCTATAGCGCAACAGTTTGATGTTTCATCTTATATAGTATTTATTCCAACCTTTAAAAGCAAAACTTTTTAAGCTTATTTATACGATAAAAAATGTACGCACTTGCAGAGCCAAGGCAGTACTGATACTTCATTTAAGAATTTAACTTAGTAAGACAAAGTAATACGTTATTTCTTGATAGTCATCTAGATTAAGCTTTGCCAAGCTACAGTGCTACCGTATGACATATACGAGATACTTAAACTCGTAATTTTCCAATATTTTGTATTATGTAGTATTGTTATATTATACTTAGATGAATGAAATGTTTGTTCCAAAATAATTACTAGTATACCTGCCGTTGGAATGAACTTCTAAAAAAAATGCCCGTTATGCCAGTGTTAATCGTATATTTATGATATATCTATACCATCTATTTTTTATTCGGAAATTGAACATTGTAGCGTATTTGTTAGAACACTGATGTGTGCCGTAAATACTAGTAGAAACTGTGCTCGTTACACTTTGCGTGCTAGATACACTTAAACTTTTCACTTTACCTTTCTGCAATGCGCATAATTCTATGCAGTTTGCTTTAAAACCAGTAGTAAAAATAAATATTTTTAAGTATTCTACTGTTCTTTTCAAAGTTAGTTTCATGTTCGAAATTAAAATATTTTTATGAAATAGCTAGCTAATAATAATACCTGGTTAACCCGAATTTAAATAAATATGTCCTTAATATAACGAGTAAATTATCAATTGGAATGTTATTTATTAACTTATTAATCAACATTAAATTAGTTGAAAAGTCAAAGTTTACTTCGAACGAATTAAGTCATTATAAACACAGATAAATATCCGTTATAGTATACATATTTTATTGACATTGGAAGTAAGCAATAACAATGAAAAGTTTAAACGCATTAATTAAAAGAATAAATGGAAAAGCTCAATACACGTTGAAATGCTGGTATCCATTTATCATAAATAAGGTGTTTTATTTAATTTATTCTTTGATAGAAATCAGACAAGATCGTAATAATGCATGGATCAGTGAAGGTATTGTTAATACCTAGTATAGGACTGGCAGTAGCATTTATTAATAACTCAAAGTAAATGCAAACAGAATGCGAAAGAGATGCTTAGGTGACCACATCTATTCAACAATGATAAAATAAACAAATATGTCTAGCACTGCCTTGCTTTTGTGGCAAATTATCGTAATTAAGAAGGGTTATATTTACGGGTCAACTCTATTCTGCTGTTACAGTTTGCTTTTATATGAATACCATGTAAAGGAAGCACTAAGTAAAAGCTCCAATATTAAGAATTGAGTTCGTTTATGTATTTGCTTTTCATTTTTTTACGTTTGCACTAAAATTTGCTTCGATCGTCTATCGCTGAGAAGCAAATGCCGCATTTACGTATATTATCTTTTACATTTGCAATCATCGCGACAGATCCAAAAATGTCTTATTTTATTATGATATAATTGAAAATAAAAGTAGAATTAAGGCGATGAACTTCACCAAATAACCGACACAAAGTTATTGTCCTTCTTAAAATTTTTAATAAGGCGGAAATTACTCCCAGAATTTATAATTAATTCTTTATTGGTACACTGTCAGTTTTTTAACAATTGAGTAACGCACCCGACGCTTTCAAATATCCTATAATGAATGCATCGGTCTGGATTTGAACGAAAGCTTTCGTTCTAAATGCCCAACAACGTACTTAAGTTGATTTGAATGCAATTGAAATTAATGAAAGATTAATCAAGATATCCTGAACTAAGCATCGAAAGTAATCGATTTTTATTGGATGACATAATAAGATTCTTAATCAGTATTGTATCGCAATTCTCATTCGTAATATAATGAATCGATATTTCTAATAGCATACCAACATAGAATAAAATAATGTATCGGTTGATAAAGGAATTAAATCATCAAAGATTCATGGTCCCAATTACTTAAATAATGGTATTACGGAAGGTAATCTAAACATGGATAGATTGATAGAATAAAGTATCATATAGTAATGATAATCGTATATTAGAGTGAAACGTTTAAGTAATCATATTGCAATGAAAATTTCCCGCATTACACTGTTTTAACATTTGTGAATTATTAAGTGAGCCAAGTCATGCAATATTGATGACGGTTCCTTTCGTTTATCAACTGCAATTTACGGGACTACAAAAGTACAATCAGTTGATGAATCGTATATTCAGTTGCATTTAAATTCATGCCCATTTCCCCCTTATAGTTAATTTACTGTTTTGTATAACTCCCAATCGGCAAATAATAAAATTGCTTTTTCAACTTTAATCTTCTATGCTCGCTCCTATCAAGACTGATGCAAGTTCGATCACTTTGGGTAATCCTGGTTAGTACTTTGGTCAGTAATATGAAAGTAATCGCTAGAACATTATAACTTTGTTTTCTAACGAAATTTTTAAATTTAGAATAAATTTGTGGTTAAAACT